AAATCCGACAGTATTTCCTACGGCGGTACTTAAAGATATTATTTCCACCTTAAATGATAATGCATATATTTAAAAAAATATGTATCGCGATCTTTAGAAAAAAATCAAAACGCTAACGTAAGTATAGGCAACCCAAATTGCACTATAACTCCTGAGGCGACAACTGATTACTTGAAAGGGAAAACAAAAGAAACTACCTGGCATTATCCTGCCCAATTTTTAGCTAAACCCCTAGGCGGAATACGACTGTACCAGTAATTAGAAGCATTTTTGCCGCAAATTTGTTCTTGTGTAGAAATGTGGCACCGTTTTGATCTTTTGGACTAACGCATGACCACCACACAAGCGGGTAGTACAGTATCACAATTCGCAAACACTACTACTGAGTCGAGACTTAGAGAGTGCTACTTATTTTTTCAATATGATCAGATATCAGGAATATCCGCTTTGTTGAAGAGACAAAATCGTGTACTGAGTACGGACCTGGACGAAGTTTTAAAGTTTAAACTTTCAATTGCGTTTGCGCATGCTTTCTTTTTATAAAGTAGTTCTAGCAGTTCACGTTTTGATTAGAACCTTATAAGTTGTACTTATGCAAATAAATCCTTTTTCTTTTTACTTGAATTAATCTTAACAGGTTATGTGCCCAGATGCGCTAAAAGGTGCGAAAAGTAAATAAGAAGTCGTAACTTTGTAAGGTTTAGTTGTAAACAGTGCTAAGTATCGGTAGTTTGTTTCGCGCGCGGTATCGTCACAAAATGTCGGACTTTAACTTCAAGGCTCACATAGAAAAGTTGGAGGGTGCTTCGAATTGGAGTCAATGGCGAAAACAGGTTGAACTTTTGTTAAAACATCAGGATGTTTTGGATCTGGCCATCGGGACGCGAGCATCACCAGCGGGACCTTCAGCGAATGCGGATCAAGCGGTTATTTCAAAGTATCAAGCGGATTTGAAAACGTTCAACAAAGATGATGCTTTAGCACAGCTGATTCTAGTAAGTAGCATGAACAAGACAAATTTAAATTTGGTTGCTACTTGTGAAACTGCTAATCAAACGTGGGAAAAGCTGTTGTCTGTGTATGAGCAAAGTTCAGGGCAACGCGTAGATCGGCTGATGGAGCAGTTTTTCAGCAACGATAGGACTCCAGAGGAAGACATTGCTACACATATCGCAAAGCTGCAGAGAGATTTCCAAGAAATGAATGATGAACTCAGGCGGTTGGTGAAAACAGAACTCCCGGACCTAGTGCTAATGAGTAGGATCATGTCGACGCTACCTTCTGAATATTTTGAATTCAAGAGCGTGTGGGAATCTGTCCCAGTGGAAGATCGCACCTTAAATAAATTAACCGAAAGACTTCGCTTAATTGAAATGCGTTTACCGGCGAAATCTAAAAACGTGGGCGCTTTCGTGGCCAAGGGTGGTGATAAAAAGCAGGCGAATAACTATCCCAAGTCGGAACCGAAATGTTATCGGTGTCATCAAGCAGGACATTTTGCAAAAAAATGCCCCAAGAAAGGGAGCGGAAATTCCGCGGGAAATTCGTCCGAATCACGCGGCAGGAGGTCATCCGGGTTTGATTCAAGAGCCGACGGTGATGCTTTCGTAGGTGCGGAAAAATCTAACAAGGACGCGAATGCAGAATTGTGGTTAGCGGATTCAGGAGCTAGTGCGCACATGACCAGGCATAAAAGTTATTTTATAAACTTTGAACCGTTCTCACTTCCAAAAACGGTGCAAGTCGGGAACAGCGAGAAAATTTTCGCGTATGGTCAGGGTCAAATAAACGTTGAAATGTTTGTTAATGGCGAGTGGCGCAGGAATCATTTAAATAACGTGTGGTTAGTTCCGGATATCGAACGAAATTTACTTTCAATAGGACAAACTATAAGTAATGGATATCATTTTGAAGCTAACTACGGGGGATGTTACTTTAAGAAGGACGGTAGTGTTCGATTATCAGGCAAGAAATTGTCGAACGGGTTGTATGCCCTAAATATTCGAGTTCGAAAACCGGAAGCGGCAGCAGAAGTGCATGTTGCATCAACAAAGGAAACGTTGCAATTATGGCATGAGCGTTTCGCACATCAAAGTAAGTCGCATGTAACACATTTTCTTAAAGAAAAGGGCATCGAGGTGGAGGCACATGAAGAGTTTTGTGCAGGATGCGTGTTTGGTAAACACAGTCGCGCCAGTTTCCATTCTCGAAAAAACAGACCTACGGTTCCAGGAAAAATAATACACGCGGACGTTTGTGGACCGATGCAGGAGGAATCCGAGGAGGAATCGTTAGGAGGGGCCAGATATTTTGTTTGCTTCAAAGACGATTTTTCGAAATTTCGTCGAGTGTTCTTTATGAAAGCAAAAAGTGAGGTACCCGAGTGTTTAAAAATATTCGTAAACGAGGCGACCGCGATTGGTGTTAAAATTGAACAATTTCTATGTGATGGTGGCAAGGAATTTGACAATTTTGAAGTGCGAAAATGTTTAGAGTCGAAAGGTATCACACTCAGAATAACAATGCCGTACACACCCGAACAGAATGGGTCAGCAGAACGTGAAAATAGGACCTTGGTAGAAAGTGCGAGAACGATGATCCATGCAGGAAATTTTCCGATTAAATTGTGGGCGGAAGCCGTCAACACAGCGGTGTATGTACTGAACAGGACCGGACCGACGCAAGTGAAGGATAAGTCACCAATGGAATTGTGGAAAGGCAGTCAAACTGTGAGTGTACATAATTTTGAACATCTGCGTATTTTTGGGACACAATGTTTTGTGCACGTACCAAAACAAACAAGAAAAAAATGGGACAAAAAGAGTACGGAAGGCATTTTCGTCGGATACTGTGGCGAGAAAGATGGCTTTCGAGTGTGGATCCCGGAAAGTAACAAAGTTCTCCGAAGTCGCGATGTCATTTTCGGGAAGGAGAAGATTGTGTCTGAGAAGACTCAAATAACAATGACCTTGACACAGAAAAATTCCGAAGAATCTGAGGAAAATTCGGATTCGGATAACAACGAGGGCATCACGGACGATGTTTCGCAAGAAACTGAAAAGTCGCAAAGAAGAATAATCAGGCCACCCAAGTACTTGGAAGATTATGTTTATTTTGCGGCGTGTGATATACCAACAACGGTGCAGGCAGCGATTGCTTCTGAAAAATCCGAAGAGTGGCGCAATGCCATGAATGAAGAAATAGCTTCGCTAAAGGAAAACGAGACGTGGAAACTCGTTGAACCACCTCAAGGTAAGAAAATTCTAAATAACCGTTGGGTGTTTCGCGTAAAGACAAATTCGGAAGGTGATCTCGAACGATATAAAGCGCGTTTGGTTATAAAGGGGTGTTCACAAAGATTCGGGGTTGATTATGAAGAAACATTTAAGAAACATTTAGGGGCAAATTCAGAGATTCCACTTAAGGCGCACTCGCACTTAAGTCACACTCATACTCAACTTTCTGATTCAATAAACTTTCTATCTGCCCTTACACAGTAAAGGTGAGGGTAACCTTAGTAATATATGAGTGGTAGACAAGGGAACCAGTTAGTACACTTATTTGACACTTATCTGAATGATCCGCATTTTTGCATTTAAAATTAAGTAAATTTGCTGCTTATTTGTTGAAATGGTCATGGATGATTTTTGGGAATTTGTACAACATGTGGAAGATGATAACAATTATTTGCCAATTCCAAGGTAAATTTTTAAATTAAGAGCTTATTATTATGTATAGTTCTGAATTAATGAACAATAAATATAAATAGTTAATATAACTGGTATAAGCTCACAAAATAGCAATAATGTAGGTACTTAACTGCGTAGCTCATTTTTTTAAATTGATTGTTGTACTGTACATGTATTTTTAGTTTTGTTTTTACTCCGTAGGGTTATAATAAGAGACATGCAAAATCCATTGGAAAGATACACCAATACAGAATTGTTGCAAAGGTTTCGGTTTTCACGGCAGACCATTGAAATGGTCTTGCTGCCGTTGATTTATCCTAATGGAAATGCTCCTGATGACATGCGAGGATTACCTATACTTCCCATAATTAAACTCTGTACAGCTTTACGGTTTTATGCTGTTGGTAGTTTACAGGTATCTAATTTTACCAACTAGGTAATTTGTAGAAATGATCATTACATTATTATATATCAGAGACCATGTGGGGATCTACATAGCATAAGCCAGTCAAGTGCATGCAGAATTATTAGAGAGGTTTCTGAAATTATTGCTCGGAATCTTGGACAATATATAAAGTTTCCTGATAATCCACACGACATGACCAGAAACAGGGAAATGTTTTATGCAATGGCAGGATTTCCTGGAGTAGTAGGTTGTGTGGATGGAACACATATCGAAATAAAGAATCCAGGTGGGCCTACAGCAGAGGTGTATAGAAATAGAAAATCCTGGATGTCGTTAAACGTGCAAGCTGTTGCTGGGCCCCAAGCAGAATTTTTGGACATCGTTATCCGTTGGCCAGGGTCGGCACATGATGCTCGGATATTTAGAAGCAGCTCAGTGGCACTAAAGTTTGAGCAACGACAATTGGAAGGTATTCTCCTTGGAGATAGTGCATATGCACAACTCTCATACTTTTTTACACCCATGAACAACCCACAGACACGAGCGGAGAGAAGGTACAATGTTGCCCAGAAAAGTACCAGAAATGTAGTAGAAAGAGCATTTGGCCAATGGAAGCAAAGGTTCCGTTGTCTAAGCAAGTGCTTACATTACAATGTTCGAGCAGTTACTAGGATAGTAGCCGCTACAGCTGTATTGCACAATATAGCTGTAAAAGGGCGGGAACAATTTGCCCCGGATCCACATTTTCTGGAAAGAAATGTTCCTGTGCCACCAGCAACTCGACGTGCCACTGGAGCAATAATACGAGCAGCCTTTATTGAACGGCACTTTACACATCAACGATAATAATCAGACCATTATTAAATGAAATGATGTTATGTAGAGTATAATTACTAATGTTAATTTTAAAAAATACATTCTTCCATTTTAGCTGTGCGGAGCTTCTCCTGTTTCAGTTGCTCTTTTGCTACTTCGACCTTGACCCGCTGCTCCTCCAAACGCAACCTTTGCTCTTCTAACCGCAGCAGGTGGATCTCCTGATCTTGCGCCTCCAACTGTTGGTTGCGACGCAATCGAACCTCCAATTCCCGTTCTATGCATCTACCCCTGGAAACATATGTTGACTGTCTTTTATTGGGGGTAGCAGTGTTGGAGACAACAAGTGAACCGCTGGTGCTAGGCGCTTGCGCAGTTACCAAGGGGTGTAAAATATTGTTCTCATCGACAGTGTATACCCTAGATCCAGTTACACCCTCCGGTGAAATTATGGTGTCGCTGTCGATGGTATCTTTAATTTCAATATCTACAGTATCGAGAATATCGTCGACGAGGTCCCCGTCGCTACTCTCAGAAGGCTTGTATGTTCCTCCACCGGTTTTCAACCGCAACTGTTTTTCCTTAGTAATCTCTTTTCTGCGACGACCCTTCATGTTTTCCCAGCATTTTTTTAATTGCTCAATAGTCCTATGACTGTTTCCTGAAATTGCATTGTATTCTGCAGTCAGCCGCACCCACGTCTTCTTCTTGTGTGACAAGCTAATGCAATCTGTTTTCTTGCATTCTATGATGCTCTGGTACTTCACAACAAGTTCTTTCAAACACACCTTTTCATCGGCAGAAAAACATACCCGTTTCTCCTTCTCTTCGCCCATTGTCACTAATCAACTAATTTTAATCTAACTAAACTATCAACTTACGAACAAAGAACAGTATAAATAATGAGATTATAGAGTACGAATGTGTAATTCAACCGCATGTGACAAGCCAGCAGCACTTGGCACGTTTCAACTGCCACATCTAGGCGCTGTTGCCAAATATTTTACCTACTCGACTCAAACTTACATGAGGGTGTGGAGTCCTTACGTTATGAATCTGGTTTATAAGTATAAGGCTTTCTCAAACTTCACTAAGGGTGACATGAGTGTGAGCTAAGTTGAGTTTGAGTGACATCTCTGAATTTGCCTCTTAGCCCGGTGGCGCGTTTCGATACCGTTAGAATTTTATTGTGCACGGCCGCGCTTAAAAGTATGCATATGATGCAGTTCGATGTAAAAACGGCCTTCTTATACGGACATTTAGAGGAAGAGGTTTACATGAAACAGCCGGAGGGCTACGATGACGAAACCGGACGTGTGTGTAAACTATATCGTAGTTTATATGGCCTAAAACAAGCACCGCGTTGTTGGAATAAACGATTAGTCAGTTTTTTAAACAAACATTCGTTTAACCAAAGTGCAGCGGACCCGTGTTTGTTTTGGTGCGAAGTAAATAATCAATATATGTTCGTGGTAATTTATGTTGACGATGGTTTGGTAATAGGGACGAATTACACTGACCTTTGCTTATTTATTTCTAAATTAGAAAATGAGTTTCGGATTACCGTGAACGAGAATGTGGGATGCTTTTTAGGTTTGCAAATAACACGAAAAGAGGACGGTGCTATTTTTGTAAACCAGTGCGCTTATATTAAAAAGGTGTTGGAACGATTTAATATGCTAAATGCAAATCCGGTAAAGACACCCGCGGAGCTTGTGGGAACGAGCGATCTCGGTAATAAATGCGCGTTATCCATTCCATATCGAGAAGCAATTGGGGCCCTTTTATATTTATCAACAGGAAGTAGGCCAGATATTGCTTACGCGGTAAGTACAGCAGCCGAAGCTGTTGAAAATCCGTGCGAGGGGCACTGGACGGCTGTAAAGAGGATTCTGCGTTACCTGAAGGGAACTATGGAGATGGGTTTGTTATATAAAAACAAAGGAGAAGGCGATTTACTTCGGATATACAGCGACGCTGATTATGCCGGCGATGAGTCCACCAGAAGGTCGAGAACCGGGATCGTATGCATCTATGGTGACGGCGCCGTGACATGGAAAAGCCAAAAGCAACGCAGCGTCGTCCTCTCGACAACAGAAGCGGAATACGTAGCAGCCTGCGAGGCCACTAAAGAGGCAATATGGGTCAACGTACTCATCGGTGAAACCACCAAGGAAAATCATATTCCCACTTTATTTGTGGACAACGCGAGTGCCATCAAATTGTGTAAAAATCCTGAGTTTCACAAACGGTCAAAACACATTGACGTGCGTTTTCATTTCATCCGGGAAAAATACAACGAAGGTGCCATTCAAATACGGCACGTGCCTGGAAGCGATCAAGTTGCAGACGTACTAACGAAACCGTTAAGTCGCGAAAAATTTGAAAAGCATAGGGCAAATTTAGGAGTTGTTTTTCTATTCAGAGCAGCCGATTTTGAGAGGAAGTGTTGAAGAGACAAAATCGTGTACTGAGTACGGACCTGGACGAAGTTTTAAAGTTTAAACTTTCAATTGCGTTTGCGCATGCTTTCTTTTTATAAAGTAGTTCTAGCAGTTCACGTTTTGATTAGAACCTTATAAGTTGTACTTATCTTATGCAAATAAATCCTTTTTCTTTTTACTTGAATTAATCTTAACACGCTTATCGAAAAAATAAAGGAACGCGCCCAATAGTTTTCACATTCTGAGCCTATACCATTTCAAAGAAATTCGATTGCACTTGTTCATTTTAACTGTTACAAAAAATGTTCCAATTCCCCTTTTTAGCTAAATTTCTAAGCGAGATACGATAACTAATAGGCGACACTGACAAATTTATTTAAAAAAAGTGTCATTGTTTTGCTCATGTCAAGTCAAGGTAGTGAGACATCACGAAAATGAATATTTGTATCAAAACATGGGTGAAATTTTGGGTTTCCCCGGTAATTAGTGGTGGGTAAAAAAATTCTCCCACTTTTAAAAAATTTCAGCTATTTATTTTTTCCGTTTGAGAATATGATGGAATCCCGCAAACTTCACATCAACTTAGCGAATATGAACTGATGATATCATCTCGGATTTTGCCTCTCACATAATAGAGGATCAACCGCGGAATCAACAAATTTTACAACTGAATTCTCAATTTAGGACAAAAAAGCGAAGTCATTTTGCTGCACATAAGATGTTCGGAAAAATTCTACATGGGTTGTGCATAAATATATACAGGGTGATTCCTATAGTACCTGCCACCGTTTGGGAGCGTGTAGGTGGTGCGTAGGGGAGTATTTTGATATAGGACACTTGGGGTCGGAAATCTAAAATAAGGGTGCCAGAGCGAAATTTACCTTCTGGAATTTCGCGCCTGTAGGTAGGCAACCCAACCGGCCGGCGGTGCACACGGAGCGATCTCAGGCGGCGATGTGTGGCTGACACTTGATCAGAATTTTTTTTAAACCCACGAAATCCCGTCTGCAACGACGCGTATCAAGTGAATAAACACTATGGCAATAGTATAATAATAGTTGGCTAGATGTAGGAAGTGCATTGAGAACAACGGGGGCCACGTTGAACACTTGTAAACGTTATTGCTTTTGACTGTCGTTTTCCCTCCTTCCCTCCCATGTCGCTTCCTCGCGCTAACTCGCTCTGCATCGCTCCGCGCGAAAAGTCGGTCGGTTGGGTTGCCTACATACAGGCGTGAAATTCCAGAAGATAAATTTGGTTCTGGCGCCCTTATTTTAGATTTCCGACCCCAAGTGTCCTATATCAAAATACTCCCCTAGGCACCCCCTATACGCTCCCAAACGGTGGCAGGTACTATAGGAATCACCCTGTATATAAGTATAACGCTAAATGTACAATTATTATTTTTTGAAAAGATAAGAATTTATTTAAAAATCGGTATATGTTATACTCTTTATCATTGTAACAGAATTTTAAATGTTAGCTACCATTTTTATAAAAAAAAATACATTTTTTGTTGTTGTTCACCAGGTTGTTCACCCTTATTGTATAAGAAAATAAAGAGATTTATTTTAGGTGTTCGAAGTGCCGGTTTATTAGGTTCTACCATACCTAAGTCCTAAGTGAATTCATTCATGCACATGTCTATCTAATAACTATAAAAATCTATAAATCAGTAAAATTGATTAGAAAAACTCACAGGAAATAAAGGGGTAATTAATAGTATATTACAGTACAAGTGGAGGATTTAGTTTTCCACGAGTGCTGTATAGCGTTTTGTTCAATCCTGTTACTAATAAAAATTTAAAAAGAAACAGTGTAATAGTTATTTTTGCGCGATCGGTCATTTCTGGCTATTTACCATGTGTGTTTCCATGACAGTAAGTGGAATTTACCAGTTGCTATGATTACGACGACGCCAAAATTACTTACCGATTTAAAAACAGAACAGCAAAAATACTTACCGACGCCTTTTTAAAAACAATCAGTTCAATGTTAACAGTCTTACATTACATTTAATCTTTAATTATTGTTACATTAAACTTACAATTTGTGCTGATGTTTCCTATAGAAAGAACACGTTCTTCATTTAAACCTGAAGCAATAGAGATCAATGTGTTTGAAGATGTGCTTTCGTTTTTCTTAATACATTCCAATTACAATTTTGTTCTGTAAAATCTTCAACATACCATTCGGCCACCGGCGAATACCTCGCTCATAAAGTCATAACGGAAGTGCAAAGCTAGCAAACTACATCAGACACATGCACAAGAAATTATTAATTTCAGTTTTGACAAATAAACTGGTTACCTAGTGATGTACACCATACCACTTCGATCATTTCAATTTATTCTGCTCGTTAATTTCTTAGGCCATATTTATATTGGTTGCATAATTTTAATTTCGATCGCGCAAAAAATGTTATAAGCACGTCGAACGTTAAGGGTTACCGTTCTCAGACAATAATTGGAGTCGTCGCTCCGCTCCTCCTCCAAACAATTGTCTTCGAACGGTAAAAATCCCTTACCGTGTATTTTTAAGCATCTGAAAAAAACATAGTAGGTAGTTTTCGTTGTTATGGTTCCCATGAGATCTGCGTAAAACAATTGACACAATCTGTCAACAAATTATAATTGTAGCAAAAGTGTGCGCGTTTAGATTTCCAAGAAAATGGAAGATGAAAATAGTGTATTTGTGCCAGATAACATTTTGGAAGAACCGAATGCAGCGACATTTAATTTATTACCGAAAAAATCCAGACAGATACATCAAGGAGTTGGAAAAATTTCGGTCGTGGATGGAGAACAGAAACGTAAATGTTGTAATTGAAGAAGTAGTAGTGGTTGCTTATTTCAATGGATTGATACAAAAATCCGCTGCCCCTTCTTTATGGTCTATCTTTTCGGTGCTTAAATGCACCCTATTTGTTTTTGAGAAAGTGAACATAAGCAAGTAAGTTTTAGTTCATTATTAATTTACTGCTTGTAATATATGAAATGTTTTAGGTTTAAAACCTTGTTCGCGATTCTAAAAAGTAATTCTAAGGGTTATCAACCTAAAAAAGCGAAGACATTTGATCAAAGAGTGTTAAATTAAATTTGCCGCTTTCATTATTTCCCCCACCGATCTTGTACTTGTATGACTATGATGCGCACCATGCGCTCGCCCTCTTTTCGCTGCTGTATGTCAACACACAATGTACTAATAAAGTACTGCTCTTTTTGTTATTACGCTGCCTTTATTCACAACCCCAAACTTAACAAAGAGAAGTGGAAGTGGAAACGTTCAAGTCCCTGGTATCAATCAACCAATTTTTAACAATTGTAATGTTAATTTTCATATTTATAAGTAATTTTGTTGCTTTGTATCTATTAGTGATGAATTATGAATAAATAAAAGTTCAGCGTATGTGTATTATGAGTGGGTGAAAATTTTTCACTCACT